CCTGGGGCCCCCTGCAGTGTTGTCTCCCTCGTTTCTGCTAATGCACTGGGAGATTCCTTTGCAGTGGATGCCGAGGCTCCTGGTGGTTTTCTGAGCTGGTTTCCACCGTTCCCCCGCCCTCACTGAGGCACTGGAGGTCCAGGTGTTGGTGTTTGCCTGCTCTACCACCTGGGCTTCAGGATTTCTTCACAATTGGAGGCTTCAGGGCTCCTACAGCTCACCTGGTGTTGGGTTGGAATCAGCAAGACGGGCTTTAGGAAGCCTTTAGGTTGTTTTCTTCACCTCCTTTCAGATGAATGCCACAGGGTACTTATCCCCTGGGCCCCTTGTTTTTGCTGAGGCACTGGGAGACCTTTGCTGGGCTGCTGCACTGCTGCTCCTTGTCTTTCTTCTAGTTCAGGTGTTCCAGGGTTTTTTTTTTCTGGGGTGATATTTTCTGGGTTTTCAGAGGTTGATAGGGGAGAGTGAGAGCGACTACCTTTTCACTCCGCCATCTTGGCTCCCGGAAGCGGAAGTCCCAGTTTCTCTTTTTCTTAGAAGTTTCCACAGCTTACGAAGCAGGTCCTTCTAAGTTGTCTTTGGCATTCGTGGATTGAGGAGTCTGGAAACTGACACAGCTGCCTGAGATTCAGTCCTCTGAGGCCTGCTCCAGGTTCGCTGTGGCCTGCACCCCCACGTCGCGCTGCACTGCGCTCCCAGCCCGGCGTGATACACCCTTCCGATCAATCATCCAGGTTGTCCTGGGCTAGAAACTTGTTTCACTCTGTCTTTTCGTGGGTTCCGCTGCCCCAGAATTTGTCCGGAGCCATTCTTTATGAGTATCTGGAGGGGTTTGGAGGAGAGCTCAAGCAAGTCACTGCTTTCACTCCACCATCTTGGCTCCGCCCCTCGACTTTTTGTCCTTCTAAATGAATGTTGTTATTTTTTTCTAACTGCAAAATATTTTTGGCAGTTTGATTGGTATTGCACTAAATAAGCAAATTAACTTAGAAATAATTGTCGTTTGTATTATATTGGCTCAGCCTACCCATGAGCAATTAATATTTTCCCAATACTGTTCAGATCTGACTTCATGTGAAAAGTATTTTGTTATGGTGTTCTTCTCTTATTGCTATAACTAGCATTTCTAGTACAATATTGAATAATAGTGTTAATAGTGGTGCTTCACTCCTGATCTTAGTGGGAAGGCTTCTAGCGTACCCCATTACAGACAATATTTGCCGATGGTTTTAGATAGATAGTTTATCATTTTAAGAAAAGCTCCATTTATTCCTATGTCTCTAATTTTTTTTAAATAGGAATGGATATTGTACTTTGTCAAAAGCTTGTTCTGAATCTATTGAGATAATCATATGATTACTATTGGTTTTGTTATTGATATGGTCAATTATGCTGATATTTTCCTAATATTGAACCAGCCCTGAATTTCTGGTATAAATCCCACCTGGTCATAGTGTATAATCTTGGTGCTATGTTGCTGTAATCTCTTTGCTAGTCTTTTATTTAAAATTTTTGTATCAATATTCATTAAGGAACTCAGTCTATAGTTTTCTTTCTCTGTTTTCGCTCTTCCTGTTTAAGTAATAGTACCATATTTGTGTCACAAAAGGAATTGGGTAGGACTCTTTTGTATAAAATAGTAGGACTATTTTACTAACTAGTTTATATAGTACTAGAACTAATTGCACTATAAATGTTTAGTAGAATTCACTTGTGAATCCATCTGGTCCTCTGGATTTTTCCTCATGGAGCTCATTGAGGGCTTGTTCTATTTCTTTTTCTAAGATGGGATTATTTAAGAATTCTATTTCCTCTTCTATTAATCTGAGCAATTTATATTTTTATGAATATTCCTCCATTTCACTTAGATTGTTAGAATTATTGTTATATAATTGAATAAAATAGTCCCTAATAAGTGCTTTAATTTCTTCTTCATTGGTGATGAATTTACTCTTTTCTTTTTTGATACCAGTAATTTGGTTTTCTTTTTTAAAAATCAAATTATCTAGTGGTTTGTCTGTTTTGTTGTTCTCCCCCATAAAACAAGCTCCTAGTTTTATTTGTTAGTTTAATGGTTTTCTTACTTTTGATTTTATTAAATCTCTCCTTTGATTTTCAAGATTTCAAATTTGATGTTTATCTGGAGATTTTTAATTTGTTCTTTTTCTAGCTTATTTTTTTAGTTGCATGCCCAATTCTCTGATGTGGTCTTTTTCTATTTTATTGATGTAAGCATTTAGAGAAAAGAAATTTACCCTAAGTACTGCTTTGGTTACATGTCATAAATTTTGGTATTTGGTATATGGTTGTCATTCTTTTTAATGAAATTATTAATTGCTTCTATTATTTGTTCTTTGACCCATCATTCTTTAAGATTAGATTATATAGTTTCCAAGTAACTTTTTTTTTTTTTGCTTTTTGGTGAGACAATCAGGGTTAAGTGACTTGGCCAGGGTCACACAGCTAGTAAGTGTCAAGGGACTGAGGCTTGATTTGAACTCAGGTCCTCTTGACTCCAAGTCCAGAGCTCTATCCACTGCACCACCCAGCAGCCCCTCCAATTAACTTTTAATCTATGTTTCCATGGCCCTTTATGGAATGTAATTTTATTGCATTATGGTCTGAAAAGGATGCATTTAATATTTCTGCTTTTCTGTACTTGGTTGTGAGGGTTCTGTGGTCAGTTTTGGTGTAGGTGCCATGTATTGCTGAGAAAAAGGTATATTCCTTCCTATCCCCATTCAATTTTCTCCAGAGGTCTATCACATCTAACTTTACTAAAGTTGAATGTTGAAAACTATCTTTATATGTAATTGGAAAAAATAAATAGCAAGGAAAGAGTGAAGCTAAAGTTATACTTAGAGTTAAACAAGGCTTTACATTAAATTAAGTGATGCCTCTGAGCAAGAGACCTAGTTTTTTCCAGGTTGTCCCATCCTGGGGAGGGGGGTATCTACCCTGGTCTTTAAGTAGTTGGCCATCTAAAGGAGGCTGAGTTCCATCTCTTCAGTGGCTTCATCTTATTTATCTTAGTTATCCTCTCAGAAATGCAAGATGATATTATATCTTTCAGGCAGTCAGATGGTTTATCAGGGCTTAGATAGATGCCAGTTGTAAAAGGCAATCATTTTTAGAAGGTCAGGAGGGTTCCCAGTCAAAGAGATAGGACACAGGGAACCTCTCCTGACTGAGTGAGGAGCAGCTGCCCTTATGGCCCATAAAAACAAGCTTGACACAGTCCGGAACTATGAACTCTTAAGGACTTGCTTTTTGACTTTTCCTTTGTTCTTTGAAGAAAACTATAGAGGGGAAAAGATTTGTCCCCATCTTTGTCCTTCCCCCCTAAACAGGACACCAATGGCAAGTTATCTCAGAAGCACATGGCGTATGAAGCTCCCTTAAGATTCTGCCTTCTACAAGAAGCTTTTTTCAAACCCTCTTAATACTAGTGCCTTGCTGCTAAGATTGTCTCCAGTTTCTCATTCATATGTGTGTATACACACATACATATGTGACAAACTAGTGATAGTATATAATAATAAAGTATAATGTATACACAACAGATGACATATATGCATGTACATACATATATGACAAATCAGAGATAATCTACGTATATATGATCATCCAAGATATGTACATGTATATGTATATATATATATATATGTGTGTGTGTATATGTATATGTATGTATATCCTCCCCAAGTGATTTAGAGAGTGATAAATGAAGTCAACAAAAATTTATCTGCCACCTTACTATGTGCCAGTCACTACGCTAATCACTGGGGCTACAAAAAGCATAAAAATAAATAAGTCCCCCTTGATCTCAAAAAGCTCCCAGTCTTTAATGGGGGAGACAACATGCAGTCAAATATGTACAAACAATATAACTTATGTGTATATAGTATATGCATACATATGTGCATATGTATGCACTTATATAAATATGTACACATATACAAACATATGCAGGTACATGCATATATGTATATCTATATGTGCACATGCGCATGTGCATGTTTATGTGTGTGCAAAAGTATGTGCATGTGTGTATGTGTACATTGCCATATATACATTTGAGTGTTTACATGCATACATGCATGTATATACACACATGATGTACTCTTTGTACATAGAAATTTGCATTGTTCCCCATTAGAGTAATTTTTCTTTCCCATTAGACTGGTGACAGGGACTAGTATATTTGCTATATATAGTACAGTACATATTTATATTAATAAATGTTTGTTCATATGACTTGAATGATCTCTGTCTAAATCAGCAGGATAGAATTATCGGGGTTGATAACAGTATTGATTTCAGGTCCTGATGTACTCCAATTCCAAGAAAAAACTTCCATGCTCTAGCAGAACTAGGTAGGATGGTGATCAAAGATGTATTTGCCAGGATAGCGTCCTAAAAGAGTGTCTAGGCTTCCTCAATGGAAGAAACCTAGGGACAAGGTTATCAAATGACTGTTAGCACATTCCAACATAGAATACAGAAATAAGATGAGTGACAGACTTGAGAAGGAAACAGAAAAGCTATAAGAGGTGGATGGTGCAATTTTAGCATTAATTAGGACAAAGAGAGAAAAGACATTTGGGGAAGGGCATAAGAAGCCACTTGGAGGCTGAATATTATTAGATTCATAGTTTAGAGGGGACCAGGTCACTAGGCTTTCCTCTTCTCTGGCAGGGGATACCAATGGTCTAGGTTAACGTAGCTCTACCTCTCCCAGGTAACAGGCTTACATATCCCTTTATGTTGAAAGCTGACACTTACCTTCTATCTGGCCTGCACCAAGGTGGAGGGCAATTTTGATGAATGGGGCACTATATGACAGATACTGTACTAAGCACTGGGGATGCAACTAAGAAGGAAAAAGAGAGCCAGGTTCTGCCTACAAGTACCTTTTACTCTAGTAACTGAGGACAACAATCCATAAAAAAGGAGCAAATGATAAGGGACACCTGGGGACAATGGCAGGAGAGGTGGGGGGGAGTGGTGCAAGGTGGGATTGTGAGGGGAGAGACCATATTGTTAGAGTCAGAAGCACATTTGGAAAGTGAATGAAGCATGGCTGGTCCAGGTCTGCATCCAAAATGGAGGGCCCCAAAAGAACTCAGCAGTAGGAGAGAGGGGCTATGTGGGTGGAACGATATTGCAGGGGTGATAAGGTCCCAGGCATTGATGGAAGTTCAAGGGTGAAAGCATCCTGAAACAGAACAAAACATGATTGGAAAAGAAAAGAGACATAAAAATGGAAATAAGTTTGCAGAACAAAGTTTCCTTGTTCTTTTATTCATGATGCTTACTTAAGAAAAGCCCTACCTCCCTTTTCTTCTCGGAAATACTAGATGGGAAGTATCACTTTCACACGCCTCTACTTCTTTATCTAAGCACAGTTTCTTCCATTGGGTCTTTAAAGTGAATTTATTTTGCACTTATTTAATCCTTCAACACCCAAAAAGTGTTACACACCTACTGTGTACAAAGCATGTCAGGATTTGAAGGCAATGCTATCTTAGGGTAAAGATGAAAAAATGACACAATGCTGGCTTGGAGAAGCTGCCAAGGCAAAATGCAAAATACCTAATCAACAATTCCACAAAGTGATTGATGTTCTGACAAAGTTTAAGTGGTGTTTTCTGAGGAGATTATGTGAGTAGTAATGTGAAATTACTGAATCTTATTCTGTTATTGTACACTTAGGAGCTCTCCATGTTTATCCTTTCCTTTGTGTATAGGAATAAATTACCTGTTAAACATTCTCCATTCATTTTATAGAGTACCTTCTTTAAATCTAATGCTTTTTGGGGATTCCCAGACTTGTAAGCCATAATCTAACTTACCACTAAACAAAATCATTCTTCAGTCATTCTCCAGTGTTAGGAATTTAATGAGCCAACAAGTTTGATAAAAAAGGATTCCCTTCTCATTAGTAGCAGGCTCCCCCAGGACTGAAACAGGTCAGACCCATCCAAACCACATTCCTGAGTAGAGGACAAGGAGTGGCCTATCAGCAGTACCTCAAAGCTAGGTCATCATACCCAGAAGTTTTCTGTTTCCTGAATCGAAAACTCTGATATTCCTCTATCTGACTATACCCTCCTATCAGTCCCTCCCTCCCTATGCCTCATCACTCAGGTGCTTTTCTTCACCTTAAAAAAGACCTCCAATCCTTCTATTTTCTTAGGACATTCCCCTGCTCTTATTTTATTTTGCTTTTTTCACAGTGCGTACTGTATTATTAATTAATACAACTCTGAGTTATTGCCCTGAACTAGAGAAGTCACAAAATTGTGCTGATTACTCCATAAATTTGCGCTATTTAATTCCAACCAGGATCTCACTACAGCAAGGCAATCCTTTTATTCTTCCAATTTACTCTCTGCCTTATTCCCCTCAAAAGCTATTTCCAAACCATTTCTTTTCTCCTCAAACCTCCTATTCTTCCCATGCCATTGTAGTCAAGATCATCTCTAATCTTATCAAGAAAATTGGTACTTCCTCTTCTCCTCTTCATCTCGAAACCCCTTGCCATGATGTCCAACTCTATCTTTCCTCTAGTGCCTGATGAGAAGGTGGCCCTTCTCTTTGCCAAGGACAACTCCACTATACGTGCCCTTACAACCATCCCACCTCCCTGTTTCCTCCAGAAGATTGTTCCACCTCAATCTTTTCCATCTCTAATCTTTAACCTCTTCCTGTCTACTAATTCCTTCTCTGATTCCTTCAAATATATACATTTCCCACATACTTTAAAAGCAACAACACCTTCAATCTCTTCAAGCTCTCATGCTATATTTCTTCTCCCTTTCTCAATCCAATTCATACAAAAAAAAAAGTTGTTTACACTCACTGCCTTCACTTCCCCTCCTCTTATACCTCCTCCTTTTTGCAGACTGGCTTCTGAACTCACTACTCTGCTGAAATTTCTCTCTTCAAAGCTACCAGTGATCTCTTAAGTTGCAAAATCTTAGTATTATTTCTTAATCTTCATTTTCCTTGAGCTATCTACTAAATTTGGCACTTATGATCACTCTCTCCTCCAGGATTCTTTCTCCTCTCCAAGTTTTCCTGACACTATTCTCTCCTGGTTCTTGTCCTCAAATCTCCTTTGCTGATTCATGATCCATATCATGACCTTTAACTTTTATTGTTCCCAAGGACTCTGTCCTGACCCCTTCGCTTCTCTCTTATCAGTCTTTCTGAATGAACTCATTAGCTACCAAAAGTTAACATATCATTGCTATGCACGTGATTCACAGATCTATTTATCTAGCCCCAGTCTCTTCCAAGAGTTCCAATCCCACATAATCATTTCCAAATGGATGTCCCATAGCTATCTCAAATTCAATATGTTCAAAATAGAACTCTATATTTCATCGTAAATCCCTCCCCCAACTTTTCTATCACTTAGAAAGAACACCACCACAGCCATAGGCACCCACGCTTTCAATCTCAGTGTCATCCTCTCACTCTCCTTAACTCCATATATCCAATCTGTTGTCAAATTGTGCCTTTTTTTCTTCACAACTTCTCTCAAATACATCCTTTTCTTTACATGTGCACAACTACCAGCCTTCAGACTCTAATTCCTGCTTAGCTGGACTATTGCAATAACTTCTAATTGCTCTCCCTGACTCAGGTTTCTATCCATTCCAATATATCTTCCATAAAACTACCGGTGATTTTCTTAGGGCATAGGCCTGATCATGTCACTCCTTGATTCAATAAATTCCTACAGCTTCCTATTACCTCTAAGATCAAATATTAAATCCTCCATTTGGCATTTGGAACTTTTTACAAGTTGGCCATAATCTACTTTTCCAGTCTTCTTGCATATAACTCCCCTCTCCTTACTCTATAGTCTATCCATGTTGGCCTCCTTGTTGTTCCTCAAACATGCCAATATGTCTCCCTTCCCCTTACTTTTGCACTGTCTATTTCCCATATCTGAAATTCATTCTATCCTCACCTCTGTCTCTTGGAATCCTCAGTTTCCTTCAACACTCAGCTCAGTGACCACCTTCCACATTACTCTATTGATTTTCCCAGCTTCTAGTGCCCTCTCTCACTAAACTACCCTGGATACATTTGGTATGTATTCTATATATAGTTCTTCAAATAGAAGCTGCCATCCAGTTTAGAATCTAAGCTACCTATGAGCAAGAATTGTTTTGCTTTTCTGTTTATAACATTAATGCTTAGCAAAGTGCTTAGTAAATATTTATGGACTGATTGATTTAATTTATTAGAATAAGTCTTTATTGTATGCCCAATGGGTATTTGATAGTGTAGTAGGCAGTTCACATTCTAATGTGACTACAGAAATTAATATTAGATGATGGTCTCATTCTTTGTATGATCCCACTCATAAAGTTTACAAATGCAAGTGGTCATATCAAACTTTGGAAGATACAAAAAGAGCCAAAGTGCAGGAGCAGAAATTGGTAGGATACAAAGGAAGAATGTCACTCTAGGCACAGCCTTGTCCTTGCCTTAACTAAATAAACCACTCCACTAACAATGAACAAACCATGAAGAATGATCAGCATCAGATATAGTCCAGCCAATGACAGGCCGGGAAAGAAGATTAGAGGTATTTGTCAGTGAGAGAATAGGAAGTAGAAAATGGGGTGGGGGGCAGGAATGAACCCTGTTTCCTGAGTTCTGCAGCTGAAGATAATTTTGAGGAGCTAAGAATGGAAAAAGAGATGGGAGATGCTTAGGCCATGAATGGAAAAGCAGATAGGAAACATCTGATAATTTCTGGCTGATAGAAAGACTGAATCTAAGCACCTGAACTGTTTGGGAATTCAATTTTGGGGCATGTCCTTAACCTGGTTTAGGGCTTCTTGGGTTTGGGAACAATTATGAGAGGAGTTGTGTACATTCTGTGCTGTAATTTTTTTTAAGATACTTACTTGGTTTATTCCTTGTGCTTCTATGGTCATAAATACCAGCTCCATATAGTTAACCATGCTCATGTGATCAGCCCCATGATGTCATGTTAATGTGAAAAGTAACACGAAAGAAAGAAGACAGTGTTTCCCAGTGTGTGGGGACTGAGTCGAGAAACTTCTTGGCTAAATCAGCAGAAATCACAACCCTACACTAAGGAGATGAGCAGATCAAGGGAACCGAAGGAGCCAGCTCTCTGGGAATCATTATGAGCCTGGCATTTCCTTCAAGAGTTCTGTTTTGGATGGACCAAATAATTGCCAAAGTGGGTATGAGATTGCCAGACTTTGCTTTCTACCATCCAAAAAGTGGTAAATATTTGGCTTAGAAGCTCCCTTTGTTGTTAAATGTCAAAATATTAAAACATGGGGATTCCCCAAGCCCCATTCACACACCTCCCTCACTTCCCCAGCACCCCATATCAAATATGCATTATGGTAAACTCTTAGATATTTTCTCAGATTTTCAGCCAGTCTCTGTACCCTTATTAACTCTTAGTTCTTGGCCCTGCCCCCTCCCACATGTTGCTCTGAACAGTCTACCACTTCACTATCTAAAGGAGTTTACGGAGTAGGAAAGCCTCTTTGTATGCCTGTAGCCCATGAACTACTATTGTTATCACATAGTATTTGATCTTACTTCCTGTAACTTTTACTGTGGACAATGTTCTCCAATGATCTAACCAAAGGTGATCAGATTTAATTATTGAAAGGTTTCATTTTTTTCTCTTTTCTTTTCTCCCCACTTTGGAGGCAATCAGGATTAAATGGCTTTCCCAGGGTCACAGAGCTAGTAAGTATATGAGGCCAAATTTGAACTCAGGTCTTCCTGACTCTAGGGCTCTATCCACTGAGCTTCCCCTTTTTTCTCTTTTGAAAATAGTCATTAATCTATATATAGCAACTACATTAAAATCTCTGGGGAAGAAAGTTGACTAGAAATTAAGCTTGAGGGAAAGGAGGTAGATGGCTTGTGTTATTCATGGGGCCTTTTTCTCAAGAAGTAGCTTTTGGGTTGTCAGAATAAATGACAATGTTGTTTGTTCATTTTTTTAAACAGAGGTATTATGGGGGGGGCAACTAAGTGGTGCAGTGGATAGAGCACTGTCCCTGAAGGAATGAGGATCTGAGTTCAAATCTGACCTCAGAACAAATATTTGACAATTACTAGCGGTGTGACTGTGGGCAAGTTACTTAACCCCAGTTGCCTAAAAAGAAAAAAAGAGGTATTATGTTCAGTGGTTAGAAG